GAATAAGGCCTATTTCGATTCAGTATAAAACCTCACTGGGGGCAGCTTTTGCTCAGAGGTAGAACGGGTCATCCACCAATTGGGAGATCTGCGGCTTGATCCCCATCTCCTCCAGCCCGCATGTCAAAGTATCCTTGGGCAAATTACTAAACCCCTAATTGCTCCAGGTGGTTTTTCATCGAAGTGTGAGTGAATGGTCATCGAGTAGCGGGTGGCACCATGTTCAGTAGCCTCGGCCACCAGTGTGTGAATGTGACATGTAGTGGAAAAGCACTTTGAGGAGTCGTAAGACTTGAAAAGTGCAGTACAAGTGCAGTTCATTTGTACTGTATATTAATAGATGCATGGTCAGTGTATTACCTACAGTTAGATCGCGGTCAGCAAACTCCCAGTTCGGAGAAGCAGACAGGAGGCACACAGGCTCAACAATGTAGGCTACTGCTGTGGACACCGTCTCATTTTGGTTCCAAATGTCATACAATAACACAAACTAACAAACTGATCAGAGGCAGCAGTAACTAAAATTACTACTTCTGTCAATGGAGTCTGGTGGCTGCAGATGGGAGCAGCAGCAAAATGTATTTTAGCCTCCTAAAAAAAGGGAGCACCTAAATAAATCAACATCAGTTTAAGTGTACCCTATATTAAGATTATTTTACTACTGTACCATGCCATCACACAGCCCTTTCTGATGGGGTACTGAAGTTGTTATCTATGCTCTCTTCAAAGCCACCAAGCTCCATTGACAGAAAAGGTAATTTAACCTCACAGCCCACAGGAGCTGTTAGGTTGGTACTGATTTGATTGTTTAGTTTGTGGGAACAGAACTAATGTGGCATCTGCAGCAGTGTATGTAGCAACAACATCTTACAGAAACCTATGTCAGGTCACATGAGAAAGTGTTTTTTGAAGGGTTTGGGTAAATAGCATTTTGAGGCTAAGACATACATTCAGAATGTGTATCTCTGGATTTTAATATATGAGACACTACTGGCTGCAGAATAATATTAAAATGATAAATAATGGAGCCAGCTGTAGGAAATAAAAACATACAACCAATATCAGATTCCTCTGTTGAGTTAAGCCAATTTTAGTTTTGCTCTCACACTGGTATGATGTGAAATAGCCAAATGAACAAAAATAAAGACTGATTATGAGCTTAAAATGTTAGCCAAGCCACCCTCTAATTATCTGAGAAAGCACGGTGCTGGCTCCAGCTGTGGCAACAATGAAACTGATTAAAAACAGGAAAGGAAGGCTCATGATTTAGTGGTTTACTTACAACTTTATGGGGTGAAAGAGAAGAGAGTATTTTCATCCTGAAAAACCTTCAATTTTTGTTGTTTTTAGTTGATAGTTGTTATTTTTCCCAAGTAAAAAGATCCTGAGCATGGTTTTCTGTTGGAGTAAACAGCGCTTAGCAGTTTGATCATGTTTTCACCCGCAATCACACATTTTATTGCAAACTTGGGTCTTTACCTGAGGTGTTTATTTGCTAGATTTAAGCCAGAGTCTGAGTCTTTCTGGGTCTTATAAACCGCCTGGAATTGCTGCAAATTGCTCTGCACTGCGGTGTCTCGTGACACACAGCACACGCACATTATCAAGAGGTTTACTTAAGAAGACAGTTAATTAGCAAGTGAGTTCACACATACAGTATGTACATATAGCACTTCTTCATACGCAGTCCCACACATCCCATGTACCCCTTTAATAGGAAATATAATCTCCAGCCTTTATCTCTGTATGTTAGACATACAGGCCATAAGAGCAGCTGTCAGAGTGATGCCACATCACAGCCCCGCGTGTGTTTGCTTTGTTGATTGGATGGCCATGGCACATACCTGGCTGCTGTTTGCCTAAGCCAATGGTCTTTCCTCTTATCAGGGGTTGATTTTACATAACTTTAATGGGGAGAGAAGCACATATTCAGCAGTACATAGCAATGTGTAAACATGAGCACACAGAAGCACTAACCATGTACGGCAGCAAAGGAATAGTGGTTTACTGAGTGTAGAAATACATGTACAGTAAAGTTTAGAATTTAAGTTGGCCTTAGTAATGTTGGAGGGTATGCAAAGTTATTCCAGTTTGACATAAATACCTGAATTTTATATATTGTCCATAGAGGAATTTGACTTTCATGAGCTGTCTCCAAGTTTCCAGATGTCGTGTTTGATTAGCAGAAGGTTTAATATTATCAGTTGGATGTTGAATTCATTAAATGGTGTTAAATGTTCATACACAGCACTGTTGGGACCTCTTGGGTGTTCACTTCGTTTAGAAATTAAGGAACGTTCAGCTTTGTGGATATAATTAGCATCACAGCCAGGACAGATCAAGCGAAATACATTCAACCTTTAAAAGAGCGGGTTCATCTGCGTTTTCCCTGTTTTTCAAATGAACAAACACATTGATAGATCCATAGGCAGCACATCACTCACAGTAGATGACGGTCGGCACAATGTACTGCTGTGAACACCACTTAAGTTTGGTTCACAAAATCACACAATAACACAAACTCATCGACAAATCAGAGGGAACACTAAACCAGTAGCTCATGTGTTCTGCGAGGTAAAATTACATTTCTGTCAAAGGAGTCTGGTGGCTTTGGACGGGGGGCAACACCACAACATATTTTAGCCTATTTAAAAAAGGAGCACCTAGAAATATTGATATTAGTTCAAGTGTGCACTATATTAAGATTATTTTACCACTTAACCTTAACCGTCAGACAGCATCTTCTAACGAGGAACTAAAGCTGTTATAAATCGACCTCCTCATAGCTACCAGACTCCATTGACAGACACAGTAATTTTACCTCACAGCACATTGGAGTTAATCTGCTAGTCTTGATTGTTAAGTAGCAGTACATGGGTTAATATACAACAGTGTCAGCATGCAGAAACCTATGTTAGGTGACATGGAAAAAATGGTTTTAAATGGGCTTGGGGAAATAGCTTTTTGACTCTAAAAAAGAAAACATACCTTAACCACAACTTTAATTTTTGGGTTTAAATACATAAGGAACACTACTGGACAGCTACAGGATGATATTAAAAACTAAAAAAACAAAACAAAATGGGGCATCCACTAGCTCACCTGGTAGAGCAGGCGCTCCATGTACAAAGGCTGTGTCCTTGCTGCAGCGGCTGTGGGCGCAATTCCAACCTATGGCTCTTTGCTGCATGTCATCACCCCTTCTCCCTGTTTCACGCTATATCTGTCCGGTCAAATGAAGGCAAAAAGCCCCAGAAAATATCTTTAAAAAATACAATTAAAAAAAATAATAATAAAAAATGGAGCTGCCCTTTGAATAAGTGTTGGATTTTTAGTGAGTATGACATATGGGGTGTCCTTGTAGTGTCATATTGTTCTGAACTTGTTCTCTATCCTTCGATTATTTCCACTTTTTGTACATTTTGTTGTCTTTTTAGGATCTGTTCTATAATGTTTCCAGTAAATGGTAGAATAATCCATATTTTTAGGACACAGTTTTTCATCTGTCCTGGTGTGTTCATGTAAACATCAGTGGATCACCTGGTTTTCTACTGTAACAATTGTGATGTTGTGTCTCCCAATCAGTCAGATACTTCTGAAAAACTCAAAACCTTAGAGTTATCTGGAAAATGTACTACATTTACAAGCCAACTTATGATTAGGGAGTTGTTTTTTTTTTTTTTTTTTACAGTTTATAGAACAGCACATGTACTTTCCCAGCAGACTTTTGGGTCAGTCCACAGTTTTCGCATCATTTCCAAATGAGAAAGAATGAAAACAACACTGTGTTATGTGAGTGAGTCCCTGTGGAGGAATACCTGTAATCTCACATCCTCTCTGTTTTGGGGAGTATCAGTCAGAAGTATCAGTCATAGAGAGGGAAGACAAACGAACAGGTTGTATCGGCCTTCGTTCAGACTTGCTGCCACTCTGTCCTTCCTCTGTGCATGTGTGCCTGCGTGCATGCATGTGTGACCTTCGGAAGGGCAGGAAGAGTAACTGGGGAGCTGGCTTTGACTGCGGCACATCGATCGTGGGCCCCTGCATTCTCCTGCTCAACAGTCACTCTTCGTACACACACAAACACACTCACACACACACAAACATACACACACACACTCGCCTCATTGACCAAATAGACTTACATATGACTGACGGGGCCAATTTCTCTCCCTTTCCTCCCCTTGCTAATTTATGGCCATTGATCTACACCGGGCTGAATTTATATACACTCATCATGCTCTCGTGCACCCTGGCTCTCCCTCTCTCTCTCTCCTCACACACACATACACACAGGTCTTTTGTGTGGTTTACAATGCAGCGCACTGACACATGCTCCTGCTGTCTCAGCACAAGTGGCGAGAAGAAAGTACAAGAACATACTGAAGGACTCAGGAAGTGTGTGAAGAATGGTTTCATTTGTGTGTACTGTATAAGCCGGTGTCATTTTCAGTACCTGATTATGTCAATATGAAGTGACATGCATGCATATCATTACCTTGGAGTACAGTACAGTGTGTGTGTGTGAGCACAGAGGTCAGGGACAACTACACAGCAGAACCTCTGGAGCTGGTAGGACTTAAGCAGCTTGCTCAAGCACTTTTTAGCAGCATCCAAACACCGAAACGTCGTCCTAGTTCCTCTAGTTAAAGGTAAACTATGCAGGAATTGTCAGCTGCTGTTTGTAAACAGTATCGCCAGCAAAAGTGAAAGTTAAAGTCAACCCCAGATTTGCTTTATTTGCATTTTTTTGGCACTGTGTCTGTGATGTTTGTAGCTTTCTCTTGGATGTGTGCTGCTTACGGTCTGGCATGTTTAATAAAGTCCCAACCTCACCTGAGTGCTGTGCCTAGCAATACACAGCCACACACTTCTAGTGGAAGGGATTACTCTTGTATGAGTCTATACGTCCTTTTACTCACTACTATTACCCCTGTTTGGTACAACTGTGTTTGTAAGTGGTGTCATTGTGTGTTTTCCTGTCTACTCTGTCCATCCAGGTGCATCTCCGTGCTCAGCAGACAGCCAGGTGGTTGGTGAGAGCGAGCGGAGCAGAGAGCAGATTCTCCAGACCCTAAGCGACCTGTCCAGGGGCTTCCAGGACATTGCAGACCGCTGTCTTCTGGTATTGCATCTGGAAGTCAGGTATGCAGGAAAACGCAACCACACTTGACAGAAATTGCAGAAATTAAAACACACACTGGGATTTTATATGCTGTTCTTACATATCTTATCGTGTTGTTACCCGTTGAGGTGACAGATGGCCTGAGATTCTTTGGCAGAACCATTCTGAATGCACAAAGTCAGCGTTAGGACTGAAAATGATCAGGAATGCTTGCTTTTTTTTTTCACTTTAAATTTTACATGTTTCAGCACTGTATTAAGCAGCTTTTTTCAATTGCAGTGCTACTTATCCAACCCAATAGCCAGAAAAAATGTTGGCATTGTATGTTTCATATGTAGCGGATAAGTTGAAACTTATGTTTCTTTACATTGCAATTATTAATTTTATGTTGTGACGAGGGATGGGATAAGAACTGGTTCCAAATGTCCAATCCATCAGAATCGTATGCCTCCAACCTTATCAGTTTCTATTATTTAGGCTGGCATGTTTTTTCTGACAGTTGCACATTGTAAAGCAAAGACGTCAAACTCATGTCTATGCTGCTGGAAACTTGCAACAAGAAGGAGTCATGGCAGAGAGAAAGACACAGTCCAAAGGCTCCATTTCAAGAAGAAAGAGGACAACAGTGCTGCTTTTAATATCAGTAAAATGATCATTTCAAGTAAGGGTGGAAACACCAGCAATATGCAGCAACATCTTTCCATGCAATATGGGCTTAAATCCTAGAAATATATATTTGACACTCAAAACACAAGTGCAACTGCTTCCCCATCGAGCAGCATGTCCATTACTGAGGGTAAATACTGTCATCGTAACATTAGTGCCACTCAGGCAGACTGAGCCCGTCTTAAGTCCTCACGCACCAATTCAACAACTGAGAGCTGTAGACAGCTGCAGGCAAGAAAGAAAACATAGGGAGAGGCAAAAAAAGCACCTGCAGGTGTAGAACTCAGCAGCAAATGCACAAAGCAGCCACCATACGTGCAAGACCCTCTGCTTGATGAACACTCTCACAGGTTCACTGTGCTCACAAAGCCGTATTCTGCTCACACCAATCAACTTGACTATTGGCAGTTGGAGGTGGAAACCAAGGGAGACGTTGGATCTCTTGTGATAGGTCACTTTCAGCACAATCACACCTACACATGGCTCTACTTGCTCCTATATTGACAGCTGTCCTTACAGGAGAGCGGAAGTTTCTGTCTTTACTGACCAGTTAGCTCAACATGTCGCCATAAATAAAGGAATGTATATGTTTCTCTAGCCTGTTATGTTATTCGAATATGTGCGATGCTTTTAAAAGGACAGTAAAGTACTTTAATATGGCCCAGACCATACCAATGTAGCCAAAGCTAGTATTGGAACTAGTCTTAGCTAACATGGCTATCGTAGCGAGTCTGACGGTGGATCAGAAGTGGTAGGTTGGTAAAATTCAACAAATGCCACTGGATCGCTGTTAAATTGCAAAATCATGGCCCTTGATGAGACATGAGTGTACAAATTAAATTCAGAAACAAAATTTCCAACAGTTAGCTAATAAAATAGTTCAGACTGCGTGAAAAATGTTGACAGCTCTGGATTGATTGGTTGTTAAATGCTGTGAATAGGCTTATATTGCCCCCTCCTGGCAGATATAGGAACCTACCTATGTAAATTCACACCAGTGTTGGAATGTAAAGTAAAACGACATCAGGTGTTATCAATATATAAAATACATATGTATGTTCAGTACAGTGTGCTCATGGAGCATGTTTTATTGCACTCACCGCTAAAGAAATAAATGTGTTGCGATAGCTAGGGTTAGGAAAACATCATGTTTTGGCTTGAAAAACCCGATCTGGTCGCTACAAACACAGCGGAAAAACACCCGCTGTTGTTGGTCTTGAACAGTGGTCTGCGGCCGTCTGTAGCTTGGCGGCCATCATATCAAGGTGTCACACTATCCACCATCCCCTCATCATCTTGATGAGAAATTCAGCTCAAATGCAACATACCTGTGGCTTGCAGAAATGTATAATGCCAACATTTATTCTGGCAGGTGGGCTGAATGATTCTGTCAAAATGATGTGAATAAAGCAATTAAATCATTTTTGTTATTCAACTAAATGTATTAAACATTTGTTTATTAGCAGTTCTGCACTTAAACCATATCCATTTTTAGTCTGTGCATTTAACTACACAGTCAGTCATAGTGCTCAAAGCATGTTGACCTGACTTGACGTGTATGTTGCGTTGGCTTTTTTACTTAAAGGTGTTTTTTTTTTTTGTTTGTTTGTTGTTGTTTTTTTACATAAAAACAAGTGTCAGTAGAAAATATAGTTCCAACAACATTATACAGTAGTAGGAAAATTGTATTTTTCAAGGTCAGCATGCAACAAAACAACTGCACCCATTGTTTTCTGTTTAAGCCCACACACTGGTGGCATCACATGTTGATGAGCCTCAAGTTGTCAAGACGTGCCAGTGTCTTATTTTCCAGGGCAGATCTATGTATAGTCAACAGACTAGCAGCACATTTACTCCACAGATTGCCACATCCCAGCTTGTGCACCTTGATTACTATTTCTGTCTGTGTCATACATTGGGGTGTGTGCTATGTATGTGACACGCGTCAAATGATACGAACAGACATCGTGTTTCACTTTCCTCTCATCTTCCTGTGGAATCAGTGCATTGATATAACCCATTTGTGTCACTTGCCAGCTGAACGAAACAAAGATTGTTACAGCATGAAATCATTTACCACTCGCTTACCATGATCATGCTGCACAAGCTTGGAGGACAAAAATGATCAGCTGCATCGCACTTCCGCCCTAAATGCATAACTTCGTCAATTTACACTTTGTCTTAAGTATGTGTTGGTGCGAATGTCAGTATCCGAGTTAATTTACCACACCATATACTCCCTCTCCCCCACAACCACTAATAGTCCTCCATCATCCCTCTCCCTTTCTTTCCATCCCTCCATGCACCACTATTTCCCCGTAGACTATTGTATAGCTTATGCAATATTGTTTATGATTTCAGTAGAAAACCCTCCCTGAGGCTGATGTCTAGCTATATGCTACACTCCATTGACTCGCCCCATCTAGCGAATTTCCCCTGATAGTGGTACCAGCTAAATGAAGCCATGAGGAAGAGAGCAAGATGGGAGGGAGGAGGAGATGGGAGGGAGATAAGGTTAAAACAATGGTGAGGGTTAAAGAAGGGAGATACAGTAGCTAAGTGGGAGAAATGATTGAATAGAGAGAGAGTGAAGTGAGATGGGGGCATTAAAAATGTGGCATGGTTGTTGGCTTTGCCGCAGGGGGAAGAGACATTCACCCATATCATTTTATACCTTTCTGCTCAGGGCACTGTGATGATGGAATTATGAGAGTATTGACTCCTCAAGTCTAGACAGAAATGAGCCTTCTACGGACCTAAAGGACCTCCAACTTAGATGGAGGTGTTTAAATGGGCAGAGAGAAGCAGCATATTGTTAAAGGATGTCTTAAAAGTCCCCTCTATAACCCATTACAGTCCTAAAAGCAGTATTAAATATACGTTACTGTGGGCGTAAAATGGTAAGATGGAAAAACTAGAGATAAGAATTGTTTGCTTCTCAGTTTTTTAATTTAGAGCCAAAAATGGTAGGCTCAAAAGTATAAAAAATGTTTTCGAAAGTTCTGACAGTTTCTGAAATTAGGTCTCTTGTAAAGTCACATCGGCCTTGTTCGTGGCATTTGGATATGATCCTATTTACAAAATGAAATATGTGTATTTCTACCACCCAAAAAGAAAGTGAATAGAAAAACTCTTGATCAAGGTTCAGTTACTCCACTGGCCAAGGGCACAAATCTGTGTTTGTACCACATCTTTATTCTATTTGCCCTGAAAAGAAATTGCCATGAAAATTAATTACAAAATGTCAAAAATGTGTATCAGTGTGTAAATGTGAGCTTCTCTGGCTTACACTCCATTAACTTAATTAAATGCTTTTAAAGGCACAATTTGCCGTCATTTTTGGAGGGGGGAAACATAGTATGAAAGAGAATCACAGGCTGTTTGCTGTAAATTTACTAAATGTTTAAGGCTTTCTTTACTTCTAAGAGTTGTACAAAATACGTACTTCGCACTGTGCTCTACAGATTGCCCTTAATTAATCCAGTCCGTTAGCTGAATAAGTGGATATATTACAAGTACTCTAAACATAATGATTTCTTTCTATATTATAGGTGTTAGAGTAGGTATATATATATATATATATATGTATATGTGTGTGTGTGTGTGTGTGTGTGTGTGTGTCGGTAGGGCATGGAAAGTGAGAATACTGAGTGCCAACTTCAGTGTACCTTTTACTTATGTCAAAGGTACAGTATGGATCTTTTGAAGTTGGGTTGTATGAGATACTTATCCATAGTCAGTATTATTTACAGTAGATGGCGGTTAGCACGCCCCCGGTTTGAGAGCAGAAGTACCGCCACGGAAACTAAGCAATGTACTGTTGTGGACAAGGACAGCAGCAAAACATATTTTAGCCACCTTAAAAAAGACCAGCCCTAAAAAAAATTAACATCAGTTTAAGTGTACGCTATATTTAGAATATTTCCACCACTTTACCTTGCTGTCAGACAGCCCTTTCTGACAGGGAACTGAGCTAAAAGTGAAACGTGTCTGTGTGTTCTTCAAAGCTAGACTCCATTGACAAAAACAGTAATTTTACCTCACTGAACACTGGAGTTTCTCATTTACTGCTGCCTTAATTAGTTAGTGGTGGTAGTGCAGTGGTAGACCAGCAACATCTGTGTTTTGCAAGGTGAAGTAACTGTTCTTGGAGTCTGATGGCTCGATATATAACGGCTTCAGGTCCCCGTTGGAAAGAGCTATCTGACGGCAAGGAGCAGTAAAGCTGTAAAATATTTTAAATATAGCGTACACCTAAACTGATACTGATGTTTTCTAGGTGGCTGAAATATGTTTTGTTGTTGCCTCTACCATGTACTGTTTGTAATACACTGAATATGGATTAGTACCTCATTCAACCCCACTTCAAAAATTCCGAACTATACCTTTAAACTGACAGACGTTAACACACCTCATGCATTCAGTTTATGAGGCTCTTTTCTGTATTTTCCTTCTCATTTCTTGTGATGTTTTGAAACCTAGCAGGGGTTGTAGTTGATTTCAACATATCAGCAGTGAACTGTGAGAGAATTTGGGGGCAACTGTTTAGCATTATAGCAAAATCAGCATTTAACAACAAGATCTGAAATGGAAAGAGAACAAAGTCAGACATCTAATTTTCCACTGTCTCTTTTCTATCCCTCAACTACACTGTCCTCCCATGTCTCGTTCCAGGGTGCATTGCTTCCATTACCTGATTCCCCTGACAAAGCAAGGCAATTATGCCATTGTGGCTAATGTGGAGAGCATGGACTATGACCCGCTGGTGGTCAAACTGAACAAGGACATCTCAGCCATAGAGGAGGCCATGGGGGCCGCCCTGCAGCAGCACAAGTTCCAGTACATTTTTGAAGGTCAGTGCGGACCCGGGGTGAAGTATGAACAGCTGCCTAGACAATATTGTCAACCTTCAGTTGTTTAATTGTGTCATGCGGTTATAAATATTAAAGGGACAGTTCACATATTTTTCCTCTTTCCTGTAGTGCTATTTATCAATCTAGATTGTTTTGGTGTGAGCTGCCAAATGTTGGAGATATCCGTCAGAGATGTCTGCCTTTTTTTGAATATAATGGAATTAGATGGCGCTTAGCTTCCGACTGAACTACACCCACCCATTGTATCGCCACACAGAATAAGCGTGATCTTAAGTGCTATATCGTAGGCAACTGTACTTGCTTGAGTTTCTTGAAGATGTTTCACCTCTCATCCAAGAACCTACTTCAGTTCTAACGGAGTGGTGCGTATGAGGTCACATGTGAGTTCTTAGTGTCAGAGTCATTAAGGTCAGATGTGAGTCATTGGTCCATCCAGCCATCTTGTGTGTAGTCAGGGTTAGATGGGTCCAGGTGTGAATGGGGGTTAAGTCGCCTGGGGAGGGATCCCAAGACTGCATTGTAGGTGGGTGGTAAGTGATGTCGTAGGCCACCTTCTCTGTTAAACAGTGGTCATTCCAGTTTGACGTGGAAGGCTTCTTTCACACCTCTTTCAAGACATCTGTCTTCTCTGGCCAAGATGTGAACGTTCTCAAAGGACTGTCCCTTTTCCTTAAGATGTGAAACAGCCAAGTCTTGTGCCACGCGCTTATGCTGTCACGAGCATGATAGTCTTGTTCATGAGAAGATGCACGCTTCCCTCTGCGTGGTGATACCGTTGGCCAGTGTGGTTTAGTTAGGAAGAAAATAGCTCCTGCATGAACCTGCTCACAACAAGGTCTGTGAAATTAGATGAGTAACTGGGTCATGATTTCTGGAAAGAGACATTGCTGGTGAGTTATTTAAATACATTTCCTCTGGTGTTTTGAGCACCACAAGATTAGTGACATCTAGTTCTGATATCTGTAACAATCAACGACTCACACTTAAACAATCTAGATTGATAAATAGCACTACAGGTAAGAGGAAAAACATGTACTTTTGAATTTGGGGCAAACGTTCCTTTTAAATTATTGTTGACAAAAGATTCTTTACCCCTCCTTTTTCTGTTACTTTCTTTTTCTCCTTTTATTCCTTTGATTCTTCTTTATCTTGATCCGACAATCATTATTTCCATCTCTCTTCCCTCTCACCAGGTCTGGGTCATCTTATCTCTTGTATTCTAATCAACGGCGCCCAGTACTTCAAGAGGATCAGCGAGTCTGGCATCAAGAAGATGTGCAGGAACATTTTTGTCCTCCAACAGAACCTCACTAACATCACCATGTCCAGGGAGGCCGACCTCGACTTTGCCAGGTAATTTCACATTTTCACAGGGTTAGCCACAGTGCAGTTCACCCCGAGCAGTTTTTGGGTTCACCTCAACCAGAAACCCTTTACTTGTGTGTGCACTTAGTTTCCACCAGGATGTGTTTATAAAGGCTCATAACCTTGGAAGGGAGTAGCTGGCAGAAGATATTTTTTGCAGTGTCTCTAAATTGTAGTGCTCTTGCCAATATTTTATAAGAGCTTGCTGTTTCCCCTTGAGTTTTGCTGTTGTCATGGTGATAAAGCCTCTGATATCACACGACTCTCCCTTGAAACACTAGATAATAATAATCTCATAAATAATAATATTAACACAAATTAATTTGTTGGAATCTGTTTTGCACGGGGATAATAATCAAAATTAATATCCCTTAATGATATACAACAAATTTTATGTTATGAAGCCATCAAATCAGAAACAGATCAAACACACTGGCTGATTTATAGTTTAAATTAGTCGATATATATATGTCCACTCCTACTACACACCTGCACAGACACTCACAGACATGCACAACATCCTCAAGTTCAGACAGCAACTATGTCAGCGCACGAGGCAGACAGATGGTCAAACAGATTGTCAAGCGCACTGTGTCTGTGTGCGTGCACAGTTGTTGGTGTTTATTTCTTATTCATACATTTATATTTTGTGAGTCTACCTGCTGTTGCCCAGCGCTGTCCAGCCCTGACAGGCATGGGGGAAATCAGCGCTCAGATATCTTTGTGAAAAAAGGAGGAGGGAGGGAGCGGGAGGGTAGAAAGAGAGAAGAAGACAGAAAGAGAAGGGTGATTCATAGTATTCATATGATATTTTTTTTTTTCTCCCTCTTTCAGAAGCTTGTGTCCTTGACAGGAGAGTGTGTGTGAGAGGAAGGGTGATGGAAAAGATGGAGAAAGAAGGGAGGGCTTGGGGGGAGGAAAATTGAAAAACTAAGTGAAAGGAAGTTATAGAAAAGGCGTCTTTCACAGGAGAAGGCATAGAAAGGAGTTGGAGAAGGCAGCATGGATAGTAGATATAATACAGCAGAGTGAGAGATGAAAGCGAGAAAGGCACAAATAGAAAGTGAAGAAAAGAGGAAGATGAAATATGGGAGAAGTACCAGAGGAGAAAGAAAGATGAAAATGTTAGGTGCTTGATTTTCAGATATATCTCTTTGTTTTCAGCTGTCCATAGATTATTTATTTTTCTTTTGTCCTCACCTCTCTTGTTTCATTATCTTGAGAGGGGAAAGAAGAAGAAACACTGGCTCTATTGGAAATATTAGAATAAACTTAAATTATTCTTAAAATATGAAGTTTTTTGTCCTGGAGTCGTAAGGTAGTTTTGGCAGAGGAGGCAAGGGACACGCCCCCCTCAAGATTTAGAGCACTTGTGTTTGTCGTCTGTTAGAGCTTGGATTGGGTACCAAACTCTGTACTTTTAAGGGTACTGACTGAATAACGTACCAAATCATGTTTAATCAATCAGTGACAAATTTTGGTACCTAAGAGTGCATCTGGGGGAAACCGCTGGGTCTAGATGAAAGTTGGAGGTGGTGCCCCGAAGCCACAAAGGTGCCCGTGGAATTGGGTGGCTGGCTCCACAGCTTTGGGGCACTTTGTGGTGGAGACAATGGAGCTCCCCGGAGTCATGGTGCTTCGTCAGCTTCCCAGCAAGCTGTAAATTATTGCTACAGTGCAAATAGTTTTGGTCTATCTGGTCTATTTTCTTTTCTATTTTATTTTGGAAATAGCTTAGTATCACTGCTGTTTTTGATTGTGTTTTTTAAATTAAGTACTTATTCTACATATTTGTCAGATGTGGCTTAACAGAGAGCGAGACAGACACAAGCAGACAGACAGTCAAGCCCCATTTCCACCCAACGCTTTCAGTATGGTACCTGTGGAACCAAAAGTAACCCTTCAGACATGGTACCTAGATCCTTGCGTTTCCAGCACACTCACTGCTCTATCCAGCACTCACTGTATTTCCTCATTACCGGTGACACATAGGGAAGTCTGCACCTCATTTATCATCCAAAGAACAAGACTGCACGCCAACATTTTCAGAACAACATCAAACAGGCTGGAGTGAGAGTTTCTGTCCATGGGATATTTAAAAATTGCAGGTTTTTGCAGTTAGTCCCTCTCAGACAAGCTCAGGGGTTTAGTGTTGCCGGAGCCCACGGGAACGGCGCTCTGCTTTGTTTTGTTAGTTTTCTTAGAGTGAGGATTAGAATATATGCTGTTCACATAACCTGGTCAAAATTGATATATACAAATGCTCCACCTTTTAGTACCAGATCTGTGTACATGGCACCCCAGCAGAGGGGTGAGCAAAAATGGGGACAGTACAGAACAGTTCCATTGGTACCATCCACAACTTTTTATAGTGGAAATGGAAGCAAAGCGTCCCAAACTGAACTGAACCGTACCGTACCGCTTGGTGGAAACGCGGCTTTAGTTCTATGTGATTCGAGAGCAGAGCAGAGGAGCAGAATTGCTGGTTGACTGCACCTTGTTAAAAATTGTATTTTTGTTATTACAGAAAAAGGAAAGACAAAGCACCAAACACAGATAACATTGGGTACTGGTACTAAATTCAAGGTACCAGCACTGGTACTGGTATTAGTTTAAACTTGAATGGTACCCAACCCTAGTTAGAACACGAGTCATAGAAACAACAGTGACCCCATTATAGTAGGTGGTGGTTTATGCAACCTCAAAAGCAACAGTTGCCATCTGCTATAAAACGGAAAGAAGCTTAGGCAACTATGTATGGTTGAAGCAGAAAGTACCATGACATTTCCACCATTAATTGATGCAGAAAAGGCACAAATTGATGCCTAAATATTCACCAGAGCGCAAGAAATGAAGTGTGGACCACCAGACCCCTGCTTCTTGTGTCCCACATTTTTTTTTATCTTTTTATTGCATTTATTCCTTTATTTGTATCTATTTATGTTGACATTTTGAGTCTTACTTTTGGCATTTTTTTGTCTTGTCTCGTTTTAACGTTATCCTTTCTTTACCTTTACCGTAGTTTTGTCTTACTTTTGTTTGATAGGACTGCTTGGCTTTCTGTTGATATGTTTCCTGAGTATCCTGGTCCCGCTTTTACTTAGTCATTAAAGTGTGTAATCTCTGTTTTCGTGCTGTATAATTTAAGTTATTATTTTTATTATTATTATATTGAAATAAAACCTACACGTTGCCGTGACAAGCTTCTTCCATGACCTGCTCAAGGCTTGATTTTGACTCTAAAGAACAGCTGAAAGCCAATGTTCATGGTTTGAGAACAATAAATAAAACTCTAACAGAGTGATTTGTTATTAATTTTGGTCTTTCTACTTTGTTAATTCTAAGGCAGCATTTCAACTATCTGCTGCTGCGCAGCTTTCCTAACCTCAGTCTCGCTGCATCTAATATTTGTTGTTGTGTTTACCCGCGCCTGCCATGTTGTGTTGTAGGGTTAATTAGCTTCTTTTCACGGCTGTTGGAATCCTTACGAGTTTGTCATATGTTTGAATGGATAGGTGCTGTCTGTGTTTGGACATCGCTATTGTTTGTAATATGCCGGTATTGCAAGCCAAGTTTCCCCTCTGGAGAAAAAAATAAAAATAAAAAAACTAAGAAGGAAACTGAAATGACCTGAACTGTACTGGATGTGGAGGACCATTGATTAGTATGTTATTTCTACCCTCTGTCAACTTTGATTATGGAGAAATGCCAGTGATGGCTTCTCTGTCTTTTCTCTCTCTCTCTCCCGCTCTCTGATTACGAGGCGTGGGTGGTGTGGAGGTGTTGATTGGGAATTGCAGAGCGCATTGTTTACACATTCATGGCTTTTTGGATTGGCCGGCCTCCGGCTCCAAGACACACATACACACATCACACCCCACACACACACAGCCACATACACACATGTAATATGTAGCCCTTGCTCTTACCCTTGCACAGACACCAATCAGCATTTTGAAATCACCATATTTATGTTTAGGGTGTGAATATTCATAAAGTATGCTCCATAGCTCCCACCTGCGAGTGACCATAAGGTCTGTATAAGATCAAGTATGTTGGAGATAAAATTATGCATCTCTGGCTCACAAAATATGAATATTTTTAGGTGTACTTTTCAAAAGACGTACACTCTGCTATACAATTATTTCTTACATCTGCATGAGTAAACCATACATGTCAAACTGTATACAATGGGTGCAAAGTGTACAAGCTCATATACTCATAAAACCTGAGTCTCTAATTTATTATACCTGTTTGACTGAGCTTATTGAATAGAAAACTGTCAAAAAGAAATGATCTACTGGAATGTTGTGAAAGTGTTTCAGCCCGCCCACGAAATTGTGCCTTTTCAGTGAAGTGGATGCCTGATATCAGACAGGATTGTCAACTCGTTACTCTCAGTTTGCATCTTCAGTCTGACATTCTGACCAATTTCTGTGGAGGAGGGGGGTTTGATTTTCCCTAACCAATCACTAGTCCAAGATATCCACCTGAATCTACTGTCATTTCAAGTTGACAGTGATTTGAAGCCCTGCCAACATGGTCTTAAGAGTGGGGCTGAGTGAAGTAAAACAAACTGCGATGTGGGGCGATGTTGTGAGTGGGTATAGCTGCGGCTGGAACGTGACCTGGGGTGTCATTTATAAAAACTGCGTACACACAAAACAAGTCCTGAAAGTGGCGTAAACCACTTCCTGCATAAAAGTTGTGATCGATAAAATCAGACTTGATGGTAGAAACTTTGACCGATGCTTACAAACATTTTGGAGATGGGAAATTGGCGACACAGATGGTGAGGTGGAAGCCTGATAGATATAGATATTTTTTGGCGCATGACATTTTTGGCTTTTGTCCGAATGTACATATTCAGTATGGATCCTACACAGTTTTATAGGTGAGACCCCGGCCCACTAGCTACATGACTGGCCCACCACACCTACACCTCAGTCCATGATCAAACTCCTTTGCCCATTGGTCTGGAAGTGAAA